CTGCACAGAGACAACATCACCTCGACGCTGTTGCCGTGACGCAGCAGCCGCTCCGTGAACCTGCGAGCGGACGAGGAAGAGGATGAGGATGAGGAAGAGGATGAGGATGCTGCGGGGTGAGGGTTTTGGGTGGAGGGAGGGGGGGTTTCCTTCCCTGTCCTGCACAGATACAACATCACTTCGACGCTGTTGCCGTGACGCAGCAGACGCTCCGTGAACCTGCGACGAAGACGAAGATGAGGATGAAGATGAGGATGCTGCGGGGTGGGGGTTTTGGGTGGAGGGAGAGGGTGTTTCCTTCCCTGTCCTGCATAGAGACAACATCACTTCGACGATGTTGCCGTGATGCAGCAGCCGCTCCGTGAACCTGCGAGCGGACGAGGATGAGGATGAGGATGAGGATGGAGATGCTGCGTGGGGGTTTCAGTGGGAAGTTAGAGCTTCAGTGGGAATCGTGGCTACTATATATATATACACTATACATCGACGACCCTTACATGACCCTGGAAATGTAGCCTCCCCTACACACCCCCGCGCGCACGCGGCGCCCCCTACGTACTTTGATCCCTGCTCTATCTTCTGCGCCGTGTTGTCGACATCGTTGCACATCTCCATGATGGCGAGCTCTCGGCGTCTGTGCGCGTCGGCCAGACGCTCGACGGCGTCGTCGTGGCAACGCTGCAGCACGGCGCGGTAGCTCTGCAGCGTTTCGTCGATGAGGCCGCGCGCGCTCTCGTACTGCTGCTGAAGGTCGGACAGCTTGCCCTCGAGAAACGTCGTCGCCTCCTCGCAGAACGCCCTCTGTGGGAGAGAGAGGGAAACGACGGTGAGGACGCGGCGGTGCGGAGGTTGCGCGTGTTCGCACTCACACTATCATTATCACACTAACACACACTCACACTTTCGCATACTCACACTCACATTAGCATTGCCTCATACTCACACTCACATTATCACTGTCCTACACTCACACTCACACTTACAGTATTATGCACTAACACTCACACTATCACACACTCACACTTACAGTATTATGCACTAACACTCACTCTATCACACACTCACACTATCACTATCACACTCACATTATCACTGTCCTATACTCACACTCACACTTACAGTATTATGCACTAACACTCACTCTATCACACACTCACACTATCACTATCACACATTTACTATACCATACACTATGTACATCATTGTTACATCACTGTTGTCACAGCACTAATACTCTAAAGTCTAATGCACCCACAGTTCATAAAACATACTCAAACTAACATTAAAAACACACTCACACCAACAGTAACACCATCACGTGCTCACATACGCACTAACATTATCATTTTCAGCAGCAGCACAGCAAATAAAGAGAGCAAACAGGGCACCTGCCAGTCACTGCGCTGACGAAACTCAAGCTCTAAACTCGCGCGAAGAACACTGACCCTAATCCTAACGCCATCAATTATTCCCTAATCGCCACGCTACATGCGGCGATGTTTGTTCAAGTGCGCGAGCCAACATTCGGCATTGTGGAGTTGACAGTTTAACAGATAAAAACTTAGGCTGTTTTTTCCCCACATATTTATTCCACATGTCATCAATATTATTTCCTACATAGAAGTATGATATGTTCCGAAGATCACGTGGTGATGTCCACATATTGATTTAATTTTTTTTAATAAGATGAATGTGCCATCAAGATATTTTTCCTGGAATACAAACTATATAGAATATTGAAAAGGAGATCTAAGAGGAAACCAAGTTCAGGTAATAATTAGCTATATAAGCCAATGAATTTTATAAGGAGTGTATAAAAACAAATATCCCCTAGTATGTTTTTATTCACACCTGATTATATGTATATAAATAAATGTATAAACTTGGTTGTGGTGGCAGTGGTGGTGGTGCACGGAAGATCAGCAAACGAAAGTATGAAGATGAAAGTGTGAGCGAAGGTGGAGTCCACGGGACCGTCAGGTAAGTGAGGGCGAGTCATCCCCGCACTTCTTGTGCCACACCCCAACACAATTCACCGCCCCCCCCCCTATCCTATTCTTTAATATGCTGTGCTCGTTAGTTGTCCACTATCAAACAACATAGCAACGCAGCACAGACAGAATTTAAACGAGTTCGCCCCCCTTAATTAACCAGCAACGCTCTAACGAACCAACACTAACGACGTTAATAAACGAGTATTACTACTACGTAGGGCCGCCACGCATCCGCCCCACTCGAGCCACGGCGACCGGTATTTTTTCAGGTATTTCACTAACCGCTTCAGGTGCGTATTATGCCCACCCCCCACCGCCCGTAGTTTGCTTTCGTACGTGCACTCGCTGGTTTTTCTGGGACGCGTTCTGACAAGGCTAACGCAGTCAGTACATGCGCGAGGGTGATACTAGTTACGATCGGAATTCCTGCTCGCCTCGTCTAACGAAGTATAGTTAATTATTGCGGAGTTAACGAGATCTTTGCTCTCGAAGATAGCGAGTGACCTTGTCGGGGATCGAAGGTCACGATCGCGCGTGCGCGCGGAAAAGTTCCAATTAGAGTGGAATGATCCGGTCGTTATGCCTGTGCAGTCGTGTACATGTTTCAAGCACGCATGCACGCACGCACACACGCACATACACACACACACACACACACGCACACACAAACGCACGCACGCACATACACACACATGCACGCACGCACGCACCCACACACATACACACGAACGCACACACACACATGCATGCACGCACCCACACACATACACGCATGCACGCACACATCCACGCATGCACGCACGCACGCACATGCAAGCACGCGCACATGTACACACACACAAACATGCACACTCAATCGCACATTTTGCACAGACATGTAGGAAGGCAAACCAGGTTTCCAGACGTACATGTACATGTACGCACAAGCACATAACTTAAATAAGAGGCAGCCGATCTTAGGGTAGGTAGGTAGGTATAACATTTGTTTTTTTGTTTTTTGATGCAAAAACATGGGTAGGCAGGAATACAATTTTTTTGTTCACAAGTTAAATATAGGGTACTGTATACAGCTTGAAATGCATTTTTCGATTGTTGCAAAATGTGAACACCTGGATAGTAGTGTTAGGAATCGCTCCCAAAAACGGAGCTCGATTAATCGTCCCTTTGAACGAGCGAGTAACCGAAGTGTAAACGGCTCTGCGGCCGCGTATAGCACGATAGCATGCGTATACTATATAGTACGCGATCGATCGCGTACATCAAAGCCGGCTGCCGCGCCATACGACCTTCAGGCTCTGTTTATGAATTAGCCGGCCCAGGCCGTATGATCGGCAGGCGGTATCTTTGAATTTTATTTTTTCTTGAAACCCTCTAAAAGTGACCGCAGTCGCACATTTTTCACTCCGAAATGTGAAGTGGGGCGGGTGACCTGAACCAAAGGTAATTTTTTGGTCGGCCTAATGCAAGCTCGCATGCACTAACGCAAGCACGCACACACGCACTAATGCAAGCACGCACGCACGCACGCACACACACACACACACTGGCCACCGACGACGGCGGCTCTGCACCGCGGCGGAGATTGAGTCGCGCATGCGAGACGTGTCTCACCTTGCCCTGTGTCTCGGCTACGAGGCCCTTCAGCTCGTCTCTATGCCTGAACTCGCAGTCCGCTATGCGCTCGTGGTCGTGGCTCGGCTGCTTGTGCCCCGTCATCATGCACTCGCTGCAGATCGGCACCTGCAATTAATTACTTAACGAATTAATTACTTTCATTAACAAATTTAAATGGGGGTCAGTAGTTTGTGGCGTGTCATCATATACGATCTGATACACGCTGCAGATCGACAGATACAACACGACACGTTGACGCGCTCACATAATACTCACTTATTAATTAAATAATTAATTCGTTTATTAACTAATTAGTTTCCATGGGGGGGGTTGTGGCGCATCCGAAAAAATATACGGTGCGCGGGAAGAGGGGCGGGGGTGGGGCAGTGGCGTCTACGTGCTTACACACATCTATTATTAGTAGTAGTGTTGTCAATCGGTTGTAATTTCGTAATCGATCATCGGTTGGACCCAAGTAACCGATGATCGGTTACAATCGGTTACAATCGGTTACTCGGGGTGTTGAATGCCTGCGTGTGCGTAACGTCGTGTGCATGTACGTGTGTGCATGTATGTGCTTGTTTAGCCCTGTTTACTGTTTGTTTTGCACTGTTTACTATACTGTGTGTATAATACATGTATGTTAATAAAGAATAACTTGTATAGTAGCGATGATATCTCTGATTCTCATCACTTTTCCAAGTTTTCTTGTTCAAGTTTAACATTTATTTCGATTTTTTTTTTCTTTTTTTCGATGAAATTGATTATGGAATTTGATAACCAAGCGCTTGGTTCGAGCCACTGTTCAACCGATGATCGAGTATAATCGATGATCGTGACATCACTAATTATTACTCACATATTAAATACCTAATTAATTAATTACTTTCACAGGGAGGGGGTCAGTCAGTTTGCGGCGCGTCCCTGTAAAACATACGGGGTGGTGGGGAGACATTTGGGGGATGGTCGTGTTATCGTTAGGAAGAAGACAATGCACGAAGGATGGAGGTCGGAGATCGTTAGTACACCCCGCCCTCCCGACTTCACTCCACAGCGCGTCAAGTCAGAGACGGAAGGCGAGTCTAGTGAAACGACGTCGCACTTAAAATATTTTGTTCGCGGACTCGCGTAGTTAGCGTCAGCGTTCCCCCCCCCCGCGAGCAAGCGTAGATTATTGGAGCTCGCTGTATAACAGCACACATGTCGGCGAAATACGTTAATGCTCCTCTGGTTCAATTTAAATATTTAATCGTGCTTTTAGAACATAAATAATAGCGAGGATTCGTAGGGCCGCATTCCATTTCTATCCCCTCGTAAGTGATCGACAGCGTAAAACCGTGGCACGAATTCACGTTTCCTGTGGGTTGGGCAGGCGGTACAGTAAAGGATGTAGGTCGGGGAAGTGGAGGTTAAGGAATTTTAAATGCCAGACATTAATCATCAAAAACACCCATTACCAAATACCCCGACGCCATCTTATAACAAACGAGCATCTCGGACCACGTTAGCACATCCACGCACATCGCACGGAAAACATTTGTCACTTTCAAATAAAAAAAAACAACACCTTAAAACAGACCTAAAGCACACGTGTTTCGCCTTCACTCGAGTAAAAACACTAAAAGCTAGCTTCACGCGTCATCTCGCGTGACGACGCCGACGTGGTGAGACGGTGGCGCTACCTGGCAGGTGTTGCAGTAGTACTTCATCGGCTCGGACGGGTGAGTCGTGCAGAATATTGGCTTGTGTATGTTGACCTCGTCATCGCCCTTGATTATGTCCTCGAACGAGACAACCTGCAAGACAAACCATCGGATTTTATTTGTCGTACGCCGTCGTTCGTCCGCACCGCATCGCGACACACGCGAGTCGATATCATGTCGAAAAAGGCAAAGGTATCATGTCGAAAAAGGCGAAGGTATCATGTCGAAAAAGGCGAAGGTATCGTGTTGGAAAAGGCGAAGGTATCATGGTGAAAAGCCTCAGGTATCATGTCAGAAAAGGTTCAGGTATCGTGTCAGAAAAGTCCCAGGTATCGTGTCGGAAAAGATGTAGGTATCATGTCAGGATGTGTAGGTATGGCATGCCATACGTGCCATAGCGTTTATGTTAAGGACTCGCGAACGCTAGACAAGAGCGAAAAACTGCGTAGAAAGACACCCGACGAGCGCAGAGCAACAAGATGGGTCAAAGTTCGTTTGCAAGAAGAACCGATAGACCCCCACCACAATGCCAGCTACGCTGTATAAGATATAACGTGTGCGTGATTGTACCCGGACACAAGTTTACCCTTTCATACCCACCAGACTACACACAACTATGCTGTATGAGATATAGCGCATGCATGCAACTGTATGAGAACCAACCAATGTTATACACAACCTCGCACCCTGATATACATCAGACTACACAACGCAAAGTATGCAAAATTATAACGCGCACGTGACTGTACCAGAACTCAAGTTTTACCCTCCCCCCTAACGGCATGCCACCTGACTACACAACGCAACTACACTGTACAAGATATAACCAATGCTCAAACTGTATCAGGACCAAAGTTTTACCCCACCCCCTCCCCCCCTTTTCACACACACACACACAGATCAAACTAGACAGAGCCATGACACCGGACAAGATACACAGCTCACGCGCACGACTTTCAGAGGACCTCGATGATATCTCTTCCCCCCACCGCACCCCGCACCAAGCACGTCGACAAGATCCGTGCAAGGACAAACGCAATCTAGCAGATGCAGTCTAGATAGTCTGTTATCAAGCAGACGCACACGTCCGCTCGCACGCATGCGCTCGCACGCATGCGCTCGCACGCTCGTACTCGCCCGCATGCACGCGCTCGCACGCTCCCGCCCGCTCGCTCGCAGGCACACGCGCTCGCTTACTGTATGATTCTCGAAGCAGCGCATGTACTGGTGCGCCGTGACGCAGTTCGGGCAGAGGAAGTTGGCACAGTCGCTGCAGCGCGCCACCGCCTTCTCGCGAGCCTTGCAGCTCGTGCAGTCGATCTGCGCGCGGGCGATCGCGCGCATGTCCATCATGTTCTGCAGCACGTAGTCGTGGCAGAGCGAGAGCGCGGGCGCCCCGCCTCCCTTCCGCTGCAGAAGACGCGTTTCCTGCGCGCACTCGGGGCAGACGATCGAGGCGTCGGCGTCGTCGGAGGCGGCGGCGGCGAGACGCGAGACGCACGCCTCGCAGAAGACGTGGAGGCAGGAGAGGACGCGCGGCGACGCGTACGGCTCGCCGCACCGGCAGCAGACGTGCTCCGGATCGATGTCGTCGCCGTCGCCGCGGAGACGCTCCCCGTCCTCATCCTCCGCATCGTCGTCGTCGTCGTCGTCCGCGTCCCGCCGCTCCAACTCGTCGTCGTCGGCGACGGCGTCCGGGTCGTTCAAGGTCGCCGGCGAGCGGCGCGTGGTGGACATCTTGATCGCGCAGGGGACGTGGCAGATTTCCGCGTCCGCACGTGGCGTCGTCTACTTGTCACTCAGCGAGTTCCGCCCGGCACTGTGGAAAAAGAGGAAGATCGTGGATAAAATTTGCGGGTGGGGGCAGGGGTCCTGACCATTTAGTAGAGTATACAGCAAAGGAAGGATGTCACAGAATGGATGTACAAAAATTGTTAGCACGCCTCTCTTCGATTTCACTTTTTCATGTCGTGAATACTGCGTGACAGCGTACGGCACATTATACATGTTTATACTTATACTTATAGCTAGTACGAGATTTAGCACAAAGTTCCCTGCTACACATCGCTTCCTTTAGTAATACAGAAATCACACACGCGAAAACTACATGACTGATCTGTTTTGCAGAGAATGGAAGAACAGTGAGCTAGGTGATAAAATATGGTGAAAATCCATACTGTGAGTAACACGGCTGAGAGTGCAGATAATCATTACACTGCCCATTTAATGATTGTTACATCTCATATGAGTCCACGGTGTACTATAAAGTATTACTATTAGTATTACTAAACCACCCACGTCACACGACACACGTCTAAAAATAATATTAATATTATTATTAATAATTAACAATATACAATTACCTACATTGTCATTAGTACATACTAACACATAGTACCTCACCCTACGATACGTTAAAGTGAGCATATAAACATCGAAGCACGACTACCGAACGGGAAAAACTTGTCGTGTGTGCAAAATGGTAGACGTCTGTCTCCCAGCGGACACGGTAAACTTTCCGCGTGCTGCGTGCGAGTGCACTAGCCACTACTCACTAGGCCTACCTACGTACGTGCGCACTGTCTCGCTGTGTCGCGCGTGACCATGTCTAGACGACAACCCCGCGATGAAACAGCTACGTAACGTTACACTCTGCGAGCTTTAGAAACTTACTTACTGTATTCCAATGTCCGATCTGTGCCTGCTATGCATCGGCCCAACGAACGCGTGTTTGCAGAGCGTAGACCACTCGTATTTATGTTCTAAAGTTTACTACGAAAAGAGTCACAGAAGAGCAACCATCCCACAGGCACCTAATACATGTACACTTGAACTTTAGTTGGTCACGTACCCCGATTTAGGTACGTGACGTCATCAGAATTCTGCGTATAGAAAACTAGAAATGGAAGCGAGGGTCACCAATATAAAAACGCGAGTTTGTGCCATAGCAACAGTACGAATCCCATTCTATCTTAGTGATATGTAATTTATATACAGATGTCTTTATGATTTGTTTATATAGATCTATAATATTAATACTATTTGTTATTAATTAGACTACAAATTTTGCACATTACGAAACGTTATTCCATCTCTGTGTTTTCTTACGATCGCCCGAACCTAGCCAGAGCTCGATCCGAACTACCCCGAAGTATCACAATCAGCTGAAAGCAAGATTTCACGTTAGAAAACCTATGGCTTGTCGTCGTGTTTGTGTACTAAACCTGTGTGAATCCGAACTACTAGGTGTTGTTCTATAATAAACATTAAATCTATTTGTCCGTCGATGTGTAGGCTAAGCAGTCCTACGCACATGAAAAGTGATCGGCAGTCGACATGTCGCAAGTAGACGCAGACGAAAACACGGAATCACCTATGATTATGAATTCTGGTGATGGGGTGGAAGAAGGTTTACCTGCACCTGTCGTATCGTCGCCGACGGAGAGCGAGACAGAGTCCCCGGCAACCGAGTCAAAAGTCACCGGCGACAAGCACAGCAATAACGTGAAAATCGACAACAGTAGCAATTCCGTCGACTCGCCTGGAAGCGGTTCTAGCCCCCGGTACCAATATTTACTCGTCGCATTACGCGAAACTCATTAAATGACGTGGAAATGCATGTGTCATCATTGAGATGGTCGCATCGCAAATGGAATATTCATTCCCAATTGCGAATTCGATCAATAATGACAATATTTGCATAGGGGCGAGAATTAGGGTTAGGTCACTTTCCGTGATCTGTACCAAACTGGGGGCGATATGCATCATAATATTATTAATAACACTAGTGCCTCGTTGATTTCTTAAAATAAATATTTATTGGACAATGGAAAATGGCACATCTCAAATATTGATCTATGATCTAGGATCACACTAATCGGGTATTAATCTTAATTAGTATTAGTAATAATTGATGCGATGATACCCATGATTTTATACTGTAGGTCAATCGGTGCGCATTTGAATCGGGAACCACTATAGGCGAATTCACGCGCTAGTTATTCTTTTTGATTTCAGGCATGCCGGCATGGAAGTGCTTATGGGGAACATCCAAGGTGACAATGTCAAGTTCTCCATGCTTGCCGGGATAGTTGAGATCGGGCAGGCGGAAAACAAGGAGGTTGTCAACGCAGCAATGCAACTGGTTGGTATTCGTCCGTCGGATCGTGTTATTTATGCCATCCCAGATCCCATTTCAGGGGTAGAAATTAACTTTAGAACAAGGGAGTCCAACGCCCTCTGTACCCTCAAAAAGAGGAAGTCCGCAGCAAAATGAGGGTGTCTGCAGTCTGAGGTTCAAAATCAAAGATATTCACAATAACGCATGTGCTTATTTTTAAGATTCATGCAGTTGCACGTCTGCCAAATTTTCTTTGGACATTAGCTGAAAAAATACAGTAATTCTGCGAGGCCGTGCTCCGGAACGAACTAGTTAGTATCGCAGAATTTTCAGGGAGTCACACGGACTCCTGCATATGTCAAATCAGGGAGTCCGGCAGTAAATCAGGGAGTATTTGACTCCGGACTCCCTTTAATTTCGCACCCTGCATTTGTTGAGGGCTCCTCATACATTGGAGTCAATGAATCAGGTCCTCTGTGCTTAATGCTAGTTTTGGACCCCCGTATTTATTGTTCGCATGTGTGCTAATGTCGGGTAGTATATACGTAGAATAGGTGTCATATACAATCACGTAATATAGAATGACTCTGAATGTACCTATACTCCGCATCACGCAATTGCACTTCAGTTAAAGTTTCCCCAACACAGGAATTTTCAAGTATATAGGGAAGGTAGCCTGCATTAACCTCACAACCGGTCACACCTTACATGTAGCATATGTCATATTTAGATGCCTCGCAGACGAATTTTTTTATTTTTTTATTAATTAATTAATTTTTATTTTTTTATTTTAATTAATAATAGCTTCGATAATTTATTTAACCCTTTCTCCGGTTTATCATCAACACGGCGAATTTGTCGTTTCAGATGGTTGGCGGTCAGTTTGACCTCGAGACCAACTGTATAATTCGTGACCCCGAGAACATTGTGAGACTGTTGGAGTTGCTGGACCACTGCGGCCCAATGTTACAGGTATGTCACACGTGACATGGTGACGCTGTGACATCACAGGCACATGCCACGTGATATGGTGACGCTATGACATCACAGGCACATGCCACGTGATATGGTGACATGGTGACATGATGACATCACAGGCACATGCCACGTGATATGGTGACATGGTGACATGATGACACACAGGCAGCCATGCCACGAATGATATGGTGGACATAGGTGCACATGATGAAATCACCAGCCACATGCCACGCCGCATATGTGACATGGTGACATCGATGACATCCAAGCAGGCACATGCCACGTGATATATGGGATCATGGTGAATGCATGACATCACAGGCACATGCCACGCGATATGGTGACATTGGTGACGGCTATGACCATCACAGGACAATGCCAACGCGATCATGGGGACATGGTGACACTGATCGACCCAGCCAGGCATCATACGCCACGTGATATGGTGACACTGGTGACATGAGTTTACCATCACAGGCACCATGCCACGTGATATGGCTGCATGTGACATGATAATCACAGGCACATGCCACGGATATGTGACATGGACGCAGTGACACTTGTAATGTACAACAACACATGCATAATAGAACCCAGGCAATGTAAAGCGTTCACCTTCTAATAAAGGACCTTCAACGTTTCCTAGTGTCAGTTATACAGTGCAACACCATGGACTAACGACCCACCTGTCTATACAGTGACACTTTCACGTTTCTCTAGTGGCACGTTATACAGTGCAAACCGACCTGTGATGCAAACGACCACCTGTCTATACAGGACACTTCAACCGGTTCCTATAAGTGACAGTTATACAGTGAAACCACCTGTGATCACACGACCACCTGTCTATAAAGGCCACTTCAACGTTTCTCTAGTGACAGTTATACAAGTGAAACCACCTGTGATCCAAACGACCACCTGTCTATAAAGACACTTCATACGTTTCTATGTGACAGTTATATACAGTGAAAACCCCTGTGATCAACGACCACCTGTCTCAACAGACACCTTTCAAACGTTTCTCTAGTGGCAGTTAATACAGTGAAACCACCTGTGAATCGTGATCAACGACCACCTGTCTATAAAGGACACTTTCAACGTTTCTCTAGTGGCAGTTATACAGTGAAACCACCTGTGAATCGTGATCAACGACCACCTGTCTATAAAGGACACTTTCAACGTTTCTCTAGTGACAGTTATACAGTGAAACCACCTGTGATCAACGACCACCTGTCTATAAAGGACACTTTCAACGTTTCTCTAGTGGCAGTTATACAGTGAAACCACCTGTGATCAACGACCACATATTAATAACGGACACTTTCAACATTTTCCTTCAGTGACAGATATGCAGTGAAGCTACCTCTAACCCAGCCCTCACCAACACCCATCCTAATCGTTATGGAAAAAAACTGTCCTAAAACAGACCCCGCTCCCGCCACCCCTCCCTCGGCAAATCCTGCATCCGTCTCCTGTTGACTGGTAACCGTGACAACCGCTCACGGGCGTGCGTCTGCTTGCAGGCGGAGATCTGGAGCATCTTCACGACGATCGCGAGGAAGAGCATTCAGAACCTGCAGGCGTGCGCCGAGGTGGGGCTGATCCGCCGTGTGCTGCAGCTGCTGCGACGCACCGAGGACCCAGTCGCTGGTGAGTGTGTGTGTGTGCGTGTATGTATGTGTGCGTGTGTGCGTGCGTGCGTGTGCTGAGGTGGGGCTGATCCGTCGCGTGCTGCAGCTGCTGCGACGCACCGAGGATCCAGTCGCTGGTGAGTGTGTGTGCGTGTGTATGTGTGCGTGGGTGTATGTGTGCGTGGGTGCGTGTGTGCGTGTGCGCGTGTGCTGAGGTGGGGCTGATCCGCCGTGTGCTGCAGCTGCTGCGACGCACCGAGGACCCGGTCGCTGGTGAGTGTGCGTGTGTGTGTATGTGTGCATGGGTGTATGTGTGCGTGCGTGCATGTGTGTGCGTGCATGTGTGCGTGTGTGCGTGTGCTGAGGTGGGGCTGATACGCCGTGTGCTGCAGCTGCTGCGACGCACCGAGGATCCAGTCGCTGGTGAGTGTGTGTGTGTGTGTATGTGTGCGTTGGTGTATGTGTGCGTGGGTGTATGTGTGCGTGGGTGCGTGTGTGCGTGTGTGCGTGTGCGCGTGTGCTGAGGTGGGGCTGATCCGCCGCGTGCTGCAGCTGCTGCGATGCACCCGAGGACCCAGTCGCTGCGGGAGTGCGTGCGTGTGTGCGTGTGTGCGTGCTGTGCGTGCGTGTGTGTGTGGTGCGGCGTGGTGTGTGTGCGGCTCTGTGCTGAGCGTGGGCTGATCCGCGCCCTGTGCTGCAACTGCTGCGACGCACGAGAACGCCGGTCTGCTTGGTGAGTGTGCGTGTGTGCTGTATCGTAGTGGTGGGTGTTATGTGTGCGCGTGTGTGTGTGGTGCGTGTGCCGAGGTGGGCTGATACGCCGTGTGCTTGCAGCTGCTGCGACGCACGCAGGATCAGTCGCTGGTGAGTGTGTGTGTGTGTGCTGTGCGTGTGTGTTGGCTGCGTGTGTGCGTGTGTGTGTGTGTGTGTGTGTGTGTGTGTGTGTGTGTGGTGCGTGTGTGTGCGTGTGTGTGTGATGCGAGGCTGGGCGGATCCGGCGCGTGCCTGCAGCTGCTGCGACGCACGCGAGACCCGGCGCGTGTGAGTGTGTGCGCTGCGGTGCGTGCGCGCGCTGCATGTGCTGCTGTGCATGCGTGCCCGTGTGTGTGTGTGTGCGTGCATGCGTGCGTGTGTGTTGCGCGTGCGCAATGCGTGCGTTGCGTGCGTCGCCGTGTGCGTGCGTGCGAGCCTGCGTATGAGAATTTTGCTTAGTGAGAAGGTTAGGAAGGGTTGCGTAATTTTGCTATGCGCAGAACCGTAGCGGGGAGAGCGTGTGTCTTTACTGACTAGTTTTGTGGGTCGCCCACTGAAAAGGGATGAAGAGTTATTGAGTTGCGTGTGTGTTTTCTCGTCCCTGCCAGCCTTAGCTAATCAACGCTGAGGGAGTTTTAGCCAGCTACGCATCACTGTCAGGAGCTGAAAATTCTCTTTGGCATATTTCAAACTAACAAGTGCAAAGAAAATGGACAGTACGTGTGAATATATAGTAATATATACATATTCTATTCCCATCACTATACATATATATGCTATGCAGGTGCGAAATTAACGGCGAGTCGAGTCAAATACTCCCTGATTCTACTGCCGCGACTCATTGTAATTCAAAAATTGAAATTCTTAATTAGAAAATGCGCGATGCTTTTGAGTACGTGTACTGGTCTGTCGTTTAACCGTTGCCCGTGGCTTACTGTGCAGCCGCATCACTCGGCAACTGCTGAGAGTTCCTGCAGGACATGCCTCTAGCGACAGGGACCAGCACGCCTTCTTCATACTTTCCCGGCCGACCAATTGCCTCGGTGCAGTGAGACGTGGGACGCGAGAACGCGCAAAGGAGCGCAGTGGTGGTATCGGTGTCCCGTAGATTTCTCTTCTCAACACCACAGGGGCATCACATTTTTTCATTTTTTCATATTTTAAAAAAAAAATTTTTTTTTGTATTTCCTCCACTCATCCATACAAATACATTCCATACAAATACATAGATACAAGTACATACTATTCAAGTACATACAAATCCATACATTCCATACAAGTACAATTCATACAAATACATATATATATATATATATGTGTTTGTAACAATGCGAATGATACGTTGTAAAGGATTAAATTACTGGGAACTAGATGGATGGTGTTGCGTTATGTTGAAATAGAGATAGAGACTGGATAGATGAATGTTATGTAATGAATATAATGGGTGGAGGTTTGTGCATCACATCTTTGGCTTCTCTCTGTTATCGGCGGCCTCTTGTTGGTCTCTCGTCATGTTCTCTCGAAGTTGTAGTCGGTAAATCGGGGCAACGAACCTAGATCTGAAATCATCGTTGCGCTCTCGCCGTAAATTGAGTCGTTGTGTGTGTGCTCTCCACAACAAAATTGTTTGTTTCCCGTTTACCTACTCGCCTCTCAGGGTACCGAGTAGGTAGGTAGGTGAAAAATCTTTTTTATTTTGTTTTGACAAGATGTGTATGTATATTGTATATTCTGTTTTGTGTATATGTTTTTGCGGAACGAATTAGATTATTTTTTGGTGAAACGAAATAATTTTTGTTTTGTTTTAATCGGCCAATAAAATGTGTCGAGTAGCGGCGTTTTGGCGAGTCGGTCGGTAAAGGGGAAGCAAGCAATATTTTATCTTAGGCCTTGTCTTTCCTGCCCTCTCTGCTCTCGGACTTCCGATTGTTGGTGCGAGTAACAACCGACAGTGACCTCTCTCTCTTGCAGTGCATTGCCCTGCCACCTATCTCCAAGTTCCCGTACCACATGGGCTGGACGTTCAGCACGTGGTTTCGACTCGACCCAAAGAGCAACGCGTCCCTGGAGCTGGATAAGCCGTATCTATACAGGTGTGTGTGTCCACCGGGGATCGTCCGGGCCCGACCCCGACCCCGACCCAAAACTGAGACACGACCCCGACTGCCGAGATGAATCCCGAGCGAGATAATCACACTTCTTTTCCCTCTCTTCGATTTTTCGGGATGATTCCCTCCATGGGAGGCGGGGAACTTATTGCTTAAATTATGCCTGTAATTGATCGAACAATCTCGAGAGAGATGAACACCCTGGTTCCTCTCTCTTGGATATTTGGGGGGGGGAGAATTCATTTATTAGGGGGGAAACTTATTGCTGGGAGTAATAGGTTCCATAACATACAGCCTGTAATACATAGATCCTATCAACAACTAGCCGAATAGGAAGATTGTTCCTGAGTAACTCGGCTCTCTGTGTCATGCTTGCAACTGCACGCTCCATTTCGCATATTATAACAACCGCTCATGTTGGCATGCGATGATGCTGTACCCAGGAGAACGCATGCAAGAGAGTGGCGGTAAAAATTATTCCAAAGTGTTCTTTAATAATAGATGTCATAGAGTATTCTATTGTTCAGCTACCTAATAACGATTCATGAATTAAAAAGAAGTGGAAATTTTTACCGGTAATATGCTAAAGCGTTCTTTAATAATAGATACCATAGTGTATTCCGTTGTTAAAGGCTCACAATGCGCATCCAAACGCTAATTTCTCCAGTACTAGACTAGCAAATACTTCGTGTCATGCATAATCACACTACCTTATGACAAAATAAACTCTAGTTGCTCCCATTTCACTGCGTGTTTGCTTAAAACCCACAAGAAAGAGGTAAGAAAACTGGCATTCTGGCGCAAACGCCGACTGTTTGCCAAACAAAATAGCCTCGAAGTGGTGACGTGACGTCACATGTTTTTATCTTTGCTGCGCCCGTACCGCTGTACCGCTGTACCGTAGCACCGCTGCACGGTTGCTTGGGGAAACTGTCAACAACATCGGAGAATTTCAACAACATTGGAGGTATTTTCAAAATACTATTTATAAGACAACGCGCAGTGAAATGAGAGGAACTAGAGTTTATTTTGCCATCAGGTAGTATGATTATGCATGACTCGAAGTATTTGCTAGTCTAGTACTGGAGAAATTAGCATTTGGATGCGCATTGTGATCCTTTA